AAGAAGAAAGTTTGAATCTGTTAATGCGCACATCAGAAAAACAGAGCAAGCTCAAATAAATAACATTAATGATGCATTTCAAGAATAATTTCAATCTAAAACTAGTGCAGTCAGGGATTTAGCTCAGTGGCTCAGGCGCTTGCCTGGTAAGTGCAAGGTTATGAATTTGAATCCCAATATAAAAACAAAAAAACAACAAAAAAAATACCACCACTACCACCACCACCAGCAACAAAAAAACTAGTACAAAGACACAGCGATGCATGCCTGTAATCTCAGGACGCTGAGGCAAGAGAATCACTGTGGGATTGAGGCCAGACCGTACACTACACAGTGTGATCCTGTCTCAAAAACAGTAACAACAAAACAAAACGACAAAAACTAAAAACAATTTCACGGCCTGATACTGGATTATTCAGGATTTTTATACCTTCTTGGTTCAGCTTTGGTAGTTCATATGTATCGAAGAATCTATTCTGAATTCTCCATTTCATTAGAGTGTATGTTCTCAAGGTTGTTACCAATGATCTTCTGGATTTCAGCAGAATCCATTGTAATTTTTTTTTCTTTTTTTGAGATAGGTTTTTTTTTTCAGGCAACAAAAATATTTTCTGTTTTTTTGAGACAGAGTCTTGCTATGTAGTACAGATTGGCCTTGAATTCATGGCAAGCCTCCCAAGTGCTGGGAGTATTATGTGTGTGTCACCATGCCCAGCAGCTCAGACAATGAAATTGAAGAAATAAAAACAAAAACACCTCATAAATTAAGAAAATCCCAGATTCCAATGTATACATTGCCGAATTTTACAAGAACTTTAGAGAAGATACTCTCTAAATTCTTTAATTAAATCAGGAAGGAGTACTCCCAAAGTCATTCCTAGAAGCTAGCATTACCCTGATTTCAAAATGAGAAAAAGACCCAACCAAAAAAAAATTATGGGCTAACTCCTTTAATGAACACAGATACAAAATTTTCAGTAAGATACTAGAAAACAGAATGCAACAAATCATAAGAAAGATATGTATCTGGGCAACAAAAGCAAGGCAGGAGGCATCTCAATTCCTGACTTGAAATTATACTACAAAGCTACAGTGATAAAATCAGCATGGTACTAGCAAAAAATAAAAAAAATAAAATAAAAAAAAAAAGAAAGAAAGAAAGAAAAAGAAAAAAAGACCCGAGGATCAATGGAACAGATTAGAAGATGCAAATACGACTACAATGGCACTCAGCCACCTTATTAGCCTGTTTAATAAATGGTGCTGGAAAAATTGGCTTTCCACATGCCAAAGACTGAAACTAGACTCATGTCTTTCACCATGTACTGAAGTAAAAATGGATCAAAGATCTAAATATTAAAATAGAAACACTAAATCTACAAGAAGACAAGATAGGTAAAAATCTTGATGACACTGGGGTAGGCAAAGAGTTCATGAACAAAACGCAACCTGCCCGGGAAAAACTTCCAAGAATCAACAACTGTGATCTCACTTTTAGTTTTTGCACTCCAAAAGATATCACCAACACGGTGAACAGAAAACTCACAATCTATTAACTAGTGTTGATTTCTTACTATTTTTTTGAAATTCTGTATTATTTCTAACCTTTTTCCTGTTTTGCTTTAAAGAAAAAAAAAAAAAAGATATACACCACGAGTAAAGAGAATAATTCCAGGGATAGTCAATCTATGCAAATTAATATATGTAATAGACCACATAAACAGAAGCAAGGACAGAAATCACATGATCATCTCAACGGCTACAGAAAAAGCCTTTGACAAAATTCGACATCCATTCATGATTAAAAAAAACCTGAAAGAAAATAGGTATAGAAAGACCTTATCTCAATTTAATGAAAGCCATTTACAGCAAACCAAAGGACAACATCATATTAAATGGAGAGAAGCTAAAGTTTTCCCTCTAAAATCAGGAACAAGACAAGACAAACATTAGCTAGAGAATCAGGGAAGAGAAAGAAATAAAAGAGCTATGTATAGGGAGCTGGGGATTTAGCTCAGCGGCATAAGCGCCTGCCTTGCAAGCAGGCAGTCGTGAGTTCGATCCCCGGTACCGAAAAAGACAAAAAAAAAAAAAAAAAAAGAGCTATGTATAGGAAAAGATGAAGTTAAATTATCGTTATTTGCAGATGACATGATCTTCTATATAGAAGACTCCAAAAAATTCCATCAAAAGACTCAACAAATAACCAAATTCAGTAATTGTAGCAGCATACAAAATCAACACACAAAAATAAATCGCATTCCTATGTACCAATAATAAACTCACTGAGAAATTACAAAAACAGTACCTTCACAATAGCATCAAGAAAAACAAAATACTTAGGAATTAAGCTAACCAAAAAGTGAAAGACCTCTTCCATGAAAACTAGAGTACTCTGAAAGGAGATTCAAAAGGACATCAGAAAATGGTATCTCCTATTCCATCAGAAAAGATACTCCTTATTCTTACATAGGCAAAAGTGATAGAGTCAAAATAGCCCTACTTCCAAAACTGATACAGTTTTAATAAAATTCCAATCAAAAGACCACAGAACCAGAGAAAAACACCCCAAGATTCATATGGAGTCAGAAGAGACCCAGAATAGCAAAAGCAAGCTTGGGCAACAGGAGCAAGGCAGGAAGCATCACAATCTTGGACTTTTAAGTTGTATTACAAAATTATAGTGATTTTAAAAAGCATGGTGTTGGCAAAAAGACCTTTGTGTATTAATGGCACAGAAAAGGGGAATGTATAAACAATTCCAAGGACACCTTTCTACCTGATCTTTAACAAGGGGGCCAAACATTTTCACTAGAGGAAGGATAACTTCATTAACAAATGGTGCTGGGAAATCTGCCTCTCCATATGTAGAAGACCAAACCTAGATCCATATCTTTCACCATGTACTAAACTAAAATTAAAATGGATTAAAGATCTAAATATTAAAATAGAAACACTCAATCTGTGGAAGACAAAATAGGTAAAACTCTAAAGACAGATGTAGATAAATAACGGCTTTCTGACCTACAATGAATTGATGTTTTCTTTTCCATGGTATTAGACTCTACTTCATTAAAGTAAACACTGTGTTTGATCTCCAGTATTGATTTCATGGTTTACCAAAGGGTAGCAACTCACAATTTTTAATACTAACTGTATATTTTCTTATATCAATGTCTTCCAGTGTAGGAAGTGTACCATTGGTAGAATTCAAGATAATTTTAGTTAGGTTCAATGTGATTCTGGATGGTACCTGGATGTGGCATTATATAGCACTGAATCACACTGTAAGAAAGTTAGCATCTTTTCATTTCATATAATCCTTTTGATTAACCCAGAGAACACTTTAGCCTACTGCTAGTCCATCTTTAGTACCTTTTACAAAGGCAGAACTGGCTTTGGCCTTAATTAAAGCTGATGACAAGCGAAAGATTGAGTTCAACTAGTTTATTTTCAGCTTATTTTAAATTTACTTTTAGGGCCGGGGGTTTAGCTAAGTGGCATAAGTGCCTGCTTGGCAAACGCAAAGTCATGAGTTCAATCCCTGACACCAAAATAATAGTAATAATAATAATAATAATAATAATAATCTACTTTTAAAATAAGTTACGCATTCACATAATCTAGAATTGGAAGGATACAAAAGGGTAAATATAACGAAAAGCCTCCCTCCTACATCTGTACTTAAGCCATCAATTCTAACTGTTAGATTCTCATGTGTTCATCCAGAGACATCTTAGGAAGGAGACAATTTCTTTTTTAAACATAAGCTTTCTATCTACACTGTTCTACAGCTTTTAGTTAATCTTCATAAAATTGTTTCTAAACGTATACTTAGCTTTACATTTATCTTGCTTTATAGCATGACACTGGTTTTAATTTACAGATTAACTTTAAAATGAATTAAAGTTTTAAAAAATAAGCTCAAGGAAAAATATTGCATAACATTACACAGCTGAAATGTGGATAAGAATGCATCATGATGGTAATTTAAAAAACACTATTTAGGGGGCTGGAGATTTAGCTTAGCGGCATAAACGCCTGCCTTGCAAGCAGGCAGTCGTGAGTTCGATCCCCGGTACCGATAAAAATGAAAAAGACAAAAAAAAAAGAAAGAAAAGAAAAAACACTATTTAAACCGGGCGAGGTGGCTCATGCCTTTAATCCAGGCACTCGGGAGGCTGAGGCAGGAGAATCATTGCGAGTTCGAGACCAGCCTCGGCTACACAGTCAGCTCAAGGCCAGCCTAACTGCACAGAGAGACTCTGTCTCAAAAAGACAAAAACCAAAAACAATAACAACAAAAAAAGGCACCACCTGACAGAACTAGAAGACTGCTTTCCATTGTCTATCAGGCATAGTGGTTTCTGATTGCAAAAGGACAGGCTCCTCTGGCTGCCAAGTCAGTCCATTCTATTGCCAGAAAGCTCAAGTTCTCTGTTTTTATGCTAAGCCCAAATCTGCCTTCCTGAAATCTCCCCTAGACCTGGCTCTACCCTTGACAGTGGAGCTTTCAAAACCCATCTTGCAGAACCTAGGGCTCCATGGAGTGCACCCTGAAGGTGGGGGAGGCTGACCACAAAGGTCCCAGAAACATTACATTTTTATGTTTTCTACAATAGAATTCTAAATAGCAAGATTTTGACAAAAAGGTTTTGCTAAGGAAAGAGAATACTGAAAACCAGTATTCTGCAGAAACACTAAAGAAACTGGTTTCCTATTCGATCCAGACATTAAAAGGAAGACCAGCTACCTGCTCGGCTGCCACATCCACTGACTTCCTGTAGAAACTGAGATGGCCTGACTTTCCTATTTTATTTATACCATACCTTTTTTCACTGGTTCTCTAAGTGACCTTTGCCAATTGTTAGTGGCCACAGCAGGGATTAGTCTGACTATTTAAGACCATGTAGTATAATAACCATGCCTCCAAACTGCAGTTCTGAAAGGGGGAACTTCGATCACTTAACTGGATGGCTCCAATCACTCTGATCACTTACCTGGTCACTGGTTAGGAGGACTGATGTGTCCGAGCCCTGCCGTCTATGGTGCTGGCCCAGCCTGGCCATGATCACAGGGGAGGTTCGAGGACTATCTAGTCCAGGGTCTGACAGTACTGAGTTGCGATTCACCAATGACTAGAAGAACAGAGAACTCTGTTAGAAGGAACCTGGTCCAGGAGACTCTCAGGGCTCAGTTCACTTGCTGCCAAGAACCAAGCTTGCATAATACTGTACCTCAATTACACAGTATCTCATTTAATGCTTTCACTGGCTCTCTGAGATAGGTACTATCATTTATCTTACTTTTTACACAAAGCAACTAAGGTTTAGAAAGGTATGAGAATTGCTAAAGATCAAAGAGCTCAGAATATATGCCCTAGATTCAATTAGGCAGTTTTAACCCAAAGCCCACCAACTACATCACTTCCTATATAACATCAATTACAGATTACTTAAGGACACCTACCCTACCTGGCACCACTCTTTTTCTCCCTCTCTTTTTTAATTTCCCACATATTGGTCCTTTCAAATGTACTGATCATCTTCCCACCAACAGACTGCAGCAGTGAGGAAATAAAAGTCCAAATACGTAAATTAGCTTTTTTTTTTAATCACATTTTCCATTACTTATTCACCTATTTAATTATCTCGCTAAGTGAATGTTTTACTGTTACCATTATTACTTTTTCTACTCATGTTGTAAGTTTATATGTACAGTTTATACATGAAAGTTGACAATACTTTTACCTTTGAGAGTCAAATCCTGGAATTCTCTGACCACTCTAAACAAGACAAGTTGTTCAAGTAGAAAAAACATCTGTAGCAAAGAAAAACTACTGGCCAGCTAGAAATATTTCTGGTTGTATTACTGATGATTTGTGTTCTACTCCCTTATTCTCTTAAGATCTATGACAGTTAATAACATGGTTGGTCTCCCTCTCCATCCAACTGGCTATCCAAGAGTTGACTATGATAGAATAGAGACAGATTTGTGGATACGGCATAAGGGCACTCACTACCTGAAACCTTTCTTTTGGGACCCAGAGCACAGTGACTAAAAGAGGTGCCTAGGGGACAGGTCATAGCCATGAGTAGCACAGTGCCCATGTGCTCAGGGAAGGGGCAGTAAATGCAGTTCTGAATAGGCCTCAGCCCTCCCAACACTCACCTCACTGAGCGAGGGGAAGCGTTCTGTCCCAGAATCCAAGCCACTGTCTGCCTCCTGGGACTCTAGAGAGAGGTGGCCTGAAAAGAACAGTCTAGATGGTAGGGCTGTGGGAAAGAAACACCTTTATTCTAGGTACTTGTATTCAGGGTAAGATCGGGACACTGTCACCATCTTTTCTTCTGCTGGTTGTCCTTGGTTCTCATTCATGGCCCTCGGATTCTCTGGGTACACCTCCATTCCACTCTCACCACTCCTAGCTCCCCCTACCCCTGTACCTGTGCTTGAGACATCTCATCTCCTGAAGCATAACTCCAGTCATTCCTACCCATCTCAACTCATCTGCCACTGACCCATTTTCACAAGCAGTATCTGCGGAGTCTCCGAGTATCAAGTGTTCCTAGGTAAGCTGTTTTAAGGACCAAATTCATCTCAGTATCTGCCTGATCCTTATCGAGCCACTGCTCTTGAGCACATGCTCATTTCTACTCTGCTTGGTTATCCTGTGTATCAGTACTGCTTTTTCCCATTATCCTATTTCCCAAAGCACAGATACTCTTTATTTCTTTCCCAGAATCTACCCCATGGGATGAGGAAAAGAGAAAGATACCTGCACTATAAGGCACAGAAAAAAGGGATTACAGAGGACTCACCTTCTGATGGTCTCTGATTGACATCTCCATAGAGAGGAAGAACGTCCTGAAAGAGAAAAGCCCAGAGGGCAGGCAAATTCTGTGAGCCTCTCCCTCCTCTTGTCTCCCTTCTCCAATCGGAGTGTATCTGCTTATACTTAGTGGTCACTTCTGATTCACTCTCTTAAAAATATCCAGCTAGAAGAGATATTTCATTTGTGCTGTTTGAGAGGATGGTGACCCCTAATGGTGAGAAGGAGCCTTACCCTTACTAAAATGCAAAACTTCTCACTGCACTTGTTATTCTGGACTTCGGAACACCTATTGTCCTTTTCAGGTAAGATACAGCAAAGAACTATCAAGGAGTACAAAAAGCTCAAGCAGATACTAAGGAAAGACGTAAAATGTTTACCTCTGAGTTCACTGGGGAGGACTGACAGATGTCGGCTAGACTGATAGCACCAGGCATTGGAGAGGATGTGATTGCCGGTATTTAACTATTTACAAAGTGCTCTTCTGGACTGCACTTAATCTTTCAGTAACTCTGTCTGAGTGAAGCAGGCTACTTCCATGTGATAGATGAATAGAAGCTCAGATCTTTAGTAACCTGCCCGAGGACACAGCAGGTCAACTCTAAAGCCAGGGTTGGAGCTCATCTCCAGACTCCAAGCTCAGTGTCTCAGATTCTCTATCTCATAAACACATGGGTCCCAGCAATGGCAGCGGCAGTAAATATGCACTGGCCCCCGTGTCAGGGAATGTTTTAGTTCTGACAGTACTCTATTAGGTGGACACCAGTGTGTTTGTGTGTGTGGTACTGAGGATTGTACTTAGGGCCTCTACCCTGAGTTACATCCTTAGCCACCTCCACCCCCACTGTTAAGACAAGCTCTTCCTAAATTGCTCAGGGTGGACTCAAAATTGGAATCTTCCTGCCTCAGCTTTCCAGAATACTGGAAATACAGGCATATCCCACCATACGCAGCTAGGCAGATTCTACTATAATCTCCATCGTACAAATAAGGAAACTGAGCCTCCTAGGGAGTAAATAATTTGTCCAAAAAGTTAATGGTAACTTGAGCTAGGATTTGAAACTAGGTTGCCTAATTCTGCAACCTAAGTTCTGGTTCACTATGTAATATGAGAAATCCTTCAGAAAATGAACACTTTATTCCCAAATAAAAAAGCCTTAAATTAAGTCTTAACTAGATAAGCTTTAAATAATTTCTGTTGGTTTTGGAAAATATTGTTCTTGGTGATTTTAAAGTTTCTACGGAGTTACTGAGGTTTGATGGAGATAAGAATAACAGTCAGGTATGGTAGTGCGTGCCTGAAATCCCAGCATTTTACAGGCAGAGCAAGAGGATCAAGTTCAAGGCCAGCCTGGACTATTCAGCGAGTTCAAGGCAAACCTGAACTACATAAAAAGACCCTGTCTCAAGAGAGGGAGGGAGGGGAGAGAGGGAGGAAGATGGGGAGATGGGTGGGGGGGGGGAGAGAGATAAACTAAGTCCCTGATGAAAACAGAGAACCATCCCTATCTGGAATTTGCTGCAGAGTTTTACAATACTGATGTAAAGCCCGGTCAGCTGACTGGGGAATCTTTACCTAACTGACTTTAGAATACTATTGGATTTCTTTGAGAAGACCTGTTACTTGAAGGACAGGTGGTGGGAGAGCTATCAGATGAGTCCTGAAAAACAGGGTAGGAATATGCATCTATCATAAGCAAACTATACAGAAGGGAAGGATCATTAGAGGCAGAAGCTGGGAGTCTGGTTTCCTATTTCCTTTTTTCTAAGGCAACTGTGAGTTCTAGGAGAGCAAGAAATAAGCTATTCCTTTACATAGTATTCCAAGTGTGTGACAGTGCTCAGCCTCTTCTTTGTAGAATATGAAACAAAAGCTCAGTGTTGGATCCTGCCATTACTTGGAGGCCTCCTGCCTTGGCCTTTTCCCTCATTCTACCCCAAAACCAATTGCATGGTGTCCTTCCTAGATCTACGCCTACTATCACTCACCACTAAGCCACCTGTCTCCTGCTGGATCTTCAGCTGTAACTGAGTGACTCGCCGACGGGCACCTTCGATTTGCTCTTCCAGCAGGCTGGCAGGGTTCCGGCTATACACCTCACAGATACGCTGGGGAGGGATGAGGAGGAAAAGGAGGAGGAGGGGAAAATGCAGAGGGGTGGTTAGTAGAGAGCGGCCAACTGACCAGAGGGGAAAACAGGCAGTTATCCAAATACAAGGAGGAGAGGGAAGAGACCTGTCTTCTAGTAGAGGCACCATCACTTAGGATCAGAAAAAGGGCAAGTGATGAGAAAGAGAACATGTGAAGCAGCTAGAAAAATAAGACAAAATACAAGGGCCTGTCTTAATCTAACTCATTGTTTAAGGTCTGGCTCAACTCCCTCATCCTAAGTAGGATCTTCCTTGACTCTCATTCAAGTGTGAAAAATGAGCGACTGATAAATCCACAAAAGAGGGTTAAAAAAGAAGACTTACGCACAATGAAAACCCTAAGAGAAGAGAGGAAGAAGGCCAACTAGAGCAGTTACCATCCCTGCTGCTCCTGGAGAACAGGAACCATTCTGACCCTCAGCTACTACTCTTTCTAGCATTCAGCAGAGTGGAGCACAGTACCTAAGGTAGACCTGCCTTTGAATTGTGCTTCCACCACTTAACAGCTGTGTAGACTTGGAAATCCTGAATATATCCTCACTGATAAAATGGAGATGACACTGCCTGCCTCATGGGATGGTTGTTAAGATCTGAATTGAATACTGTGAAGTACTTGCAGAATGTCTGATGGTACCCAACCAGCTACTCATATTTTACTATAAAAGCAGACAGCTGACAAAGCTTGTTGATTAAACAGAGAAAGATGTTATATTCACACACATTAGTTAAGTTCATCTGGGGCTTCCTGCTACCTGAAAATCTTTTAAAAATTTCTCACTTTTATTTTACAGGATCTCACTATGTAGTTCAGGCTGGCCTGAACTTGCAGCAATCCTTCTGCCTCAGTCTCTCAAATGCTGAGATTACAGGTGTGCAACACCATATGCACCAATTCTTTACATTTAATGTTTTATGCTTTCCATGCTTATCAAGCCCCAGCCCTTCCCTCACTCCCAGCATGCAATATCATCTGGTAAGACAGTTCCTAACTTCATCCTACTTCCACACATCTTCAGCCATTTTCTCTCCTGCCTTAGAAAAGAAAACATCCTGTCAATCCCCCAAACTGCTTTTGGCACTTTTCTAGACACTGTTCGCATACATTGTTTTTCTACTCCTTTCCTTCACCCCACACACCACAAAGAACTCTTTTCTAGCAACCCAGGTATATTCCTCAAGCCACTGCCCCATTTTGTTCTCCTTCCTTTCACAGCCAATGTTTCAAAACAGTGGCGAACATTCAGAGCCCCTATTTTCTGGCTTCTGGTCATTACTCAACAAATAGAACCTAGTGTTTTCCCGATTACCTCAAACAGCTACTCTTTCAAGGAACAAATACAAAATGAAACTGTGCTGTAGAAGCACCTAAGTCCCCACATCTACCCTTAGCTCTCTCCTCTTTGCACTGATGCCCTGACAGATCTCATCCAGATCCCAATTTCAACAATCATCTGGGTACTGAGAGTATTCAACAAACTACTACTTGAATCCAGCATTTTCTTTTCAGCTCCATATGCATGGAGGAGCTTCTTTATCTGAATTTTCATGTATACTTTCAAATCCAGAACACCTAAAGTGTCTGACCTTCATTTCTTTCCTCTAAACTCTGCTCCTCTACACCATCTTGCTTCATCAATGGCATCACCACCTACTTAGGCATCCAAACTTTGGGCCATCTTTTCTTCTGCCTCACAGCTGCCAAGTTCCACTCACCTGACCTCTGAGATGTCTCCCCCTGTTGTTCCCTCCCCTTTGTTCTGACTCCTACTGTTGTTAAATCTGTCATCATCTCTATAATGGCCTCCTAGGTTTCCATGTATCAGTTCACTTAACATGCTCCCCTAAAAGAACTGTGATTTGAAAAAGTGATCAGTCCCCTATATAAATCCTTTCCTCAATTGCCATTTCCTTTAGACAAAATCCAAACTCCTTATGATATTTATGGCCCAAACTGCTTTTCAACATCTGCCTTTTTCAATGTTCTAGTCACAGCAGATTGAATCCAGCTCAAGCATCACCTCATGAAGTCTTCTAATAACTGTACAAATATTCTTTCATTTGAGCTACAAGAATTAAAATTCTTTTAAAAAATTGTCATTGAGGTGTAATTCATGCCAGATACGCTTCACAAGTGTAAAGTATATAATTCAGTGGTTTTTATATATTCACACAATTGTGTGACCATCCCTACTCTCTAATTCAGAACATTCCCAACAGTTTCATGAGAAAGGTAATTAACACCTGTGGGCAATTACTGATCATGTCCCTTTCTTCCACCCTTTGGCAATCACGCACCCCCTTTGTCTCCAAAGATGTGCCTGGACATTCTATACAAATGGAGTCGCACAATTTCTGGATTTTTGTCTGGCTTTTTTGAGTTGGCATGTTTTCAGGGTTCTGCTATGCTACAGCGTATGTATTAATATTTCACCTTTTTTATGGCTTTTTATGGCTGAGTTATACCCCACTGTATGGATATATGACATTTTGCTTATCTATTCATTTGCTAGTGCACATTTGGGCTGTTTCTACTTTTTTTGGGTGATAAAAATAAAACTGTTCTGCATGTTCATATATAAGCTTTATGGGAACATACGTTCTTAATTCTTTTGGGTACTTTCCTAGGAGTGGAATTGCTGGGTCATATAGTATCTTGGTTTAATATTTTGAAGAACTAGTTGAATGTTGTAGCTCCATGCCTTAGGAGGCTGAGGCAGGAGGATTACTGTGGGTGTGAGGCCAAGCTGGACTACATAGTGAGACCCTGTCTCAAAAAAAACAAAAAAAAATAAACTGAAAAAAAAATTTTTTTTAAATCTCCAGCATAGCTGCAATATTTTATATTATTATATTCATTAATGATGAGAATAGTTCTGGACAGTGTACATGTAAACAAAATATTAGCACGTATTTCTCAGCATTGTCCACATCCTTACCAATACTTGACATTTTCCATTATTTTGATTATAAAGTGGTATCTGTTTATCAGTTTGATTAGCAGCTAGCTCCCCATGACTAACAATGTCAAGCATCTTTTCAAATGTGTATTAATCATTTGACTTTTCTTTCCTTTTATCTTTCTTTCTTTCTTCTCTCCACCCTTTTACCTTTCTTTTTTGGTGGTACTGAGGACCAAACCCAAGGTATAGCTATTCTACTGAGCTATACCCTAACCCATTTTCATTTTTCATTTGGAGACAGGGTCTCACTAAGTTCTCTAGGCTGACTTGGAACTTGTGATCCTCCGACCTGTTTCCCAACAGCCTAAGCTTGTGCCAACGCATCTGGCAAGTTTTGAATTTTGATGAAACTCAATTATCTTATTCAGGTTGTCTGTACTTTTGATTTTCTGTGGTACCAGGGATTGAACACATGGCCTCACACATGCAACTCAAGCCCCTATCACTAAGTTATACTCCCAATCCTGTTTGTAGTTTTGGTGTCATATTAAAGAAACCACTGCCTAATCCAGGGTCATGAAGATTTATACCTATTTTTCTTCTTCTAAGAGTTTTATAGTTTTAAAAAGTTTTAGCTCTTACATTTAATTCTTTGACTCATTTTAGTTAACTTCTTTTGTTGTTTCATTTTTTTGAGTCAGGGTCTCATTCTGTAATTAGGGCTGGCCTTCAACCATGTGGCCTAGGCTGGCCTCAAACTCACAGAAATCCTCCTGCCTTAGCCTCCTAGATGCCAGGATTAAAGGTGTACACCACCATGTCCAGTAAGTTAATTTCTGTTAATTGTGTAAGATAAGTGCAAATTTATTTGTTGCATATAGATATTCAGTTGTTCCTCATACCATTTTTTCTCAATTGGATTGTTCTGGTGCTTTTGTTGAAAATCAACTGACAATAAACGTACATCATGTTAAGTTCGGGACTCTGGATTCTATTCTATGGATATATGAGTCTATCTGGTTTTTTGGGTTTTTTTTTGTACTGAGGATCGAACTCACAACTTCACGCTTGCCAGGCAGGTACTTATGCCACTAAGCTAAATTCCCGGCTCCTTAGAGGCCTATAAGTAACCAGTATCTTCATTACTCTTTGTTGATATATATACATAAATATTATCACTTATAATGCAGTATATTTCTACTCATCAATTCATGTTCTGTAGGACTGCTAATTCCTCAAAGGTTAATCTCTCATCTATCTTTCTAATTTAACACTACTTTTGTCCACTATTCTAATGCACATAGGATCTAGCACACAGCAAGACTTAGTGCTGGTTGAATAAATGAATGTATTTAACCTAAGCTGTCCACTCACTAGCATTCTTCCCTCTTCTCTTTTGAATCCTGAAGCCCTATGCTTCATGGCCCAATGGAATACTTTCCCCTGTGAAGCCTTTTCTCACATGTTCTATCACTAAATTAATTGCCCTCTTATGGCCAATTCTTTGTTCCTCCTATTCTCCCTGCTATTGTAATTTGAATTTCCTCCATTAGATTTTAAACATATCAACGACAATGCACACAGTGAGCACTGAAAAAGAAACATGTTGCACTGAAATGAAGGGGTGAGGAGATTGCAAGTTACAGCTATGGTAGGACTGATTATTTCCATGCCAGCCAAATCAATCTTCTGATTGTTCTCTACGCAAATCACTTCCTTAGCCTCAAAATCTTTCTTCATCCCATCCATCAACCCGTCCCCTGTGCTCTCACCCTGTTATTGAGAACACTCACTCAGGACTCACTACCCATCCCTACCTTCCAGACATCTTACCATTCTTTCCTTGAAAAGCTCTAAGATCAACTCCAACTTGCTCTGATGTTCCTCAGTTTTAATGTTCCCTCACTTCTGTGCATGTGGTTTACCATCTGTTCACTAGCCTAATCTATTGCCTGTGGAACTCAATTATCCTATGTACTCTATTAGTAAAATTACGCATTAACAAATTGTTTTTTGGGGTTGGGTTGGAGAGTTGAGATAGGGTCTTGCTGTATAGACCAGGCTAGCCTTGAGCTTGCAATGATCCTCTTGCCTCACCTCCCAAGTGCTAGGATGACAGGAATGCACCACTGTACCTATCTCTGCTTTAATAAGTCCAAATGACAACTCTTCAGTAATCTGGAAGTTTTATTTTTAAGGTTTTACAGGTTTTTTTTTTTTATATGAACTGTAAACTGAATTGCATACATTGGGAGACTGCGCTATCATTGTCTCACTAAGGCAGTGGCCAGGCTATCTTCAGCAGTGACCTCACCTGTAGTTCTTTCTCCTCCTGCCTCAGCATGTTTCTGAGGATTTGCGTGGCATGTTTCTGAACTTCAGGATCCTAGGGATGGAAGAGAGAACTGAGTGAGAGTTGGAGACTGGCTCAGTAGCATAGTTCTCTGGGATCTGCCACTCCCTGGGCAAGAAGGATAGGACAGTAGAGCTTGGGTCATGATGTGCTGTGCATACACTCAGGACCTTGCTGGAAAAAAGTCAACATAAAGTCTTACTTTGATTTTACTCCCGAACTTTCCTAGAAACCTTTACTATAAATCACTGGCTAATTTCTCCAGGGACTTGCTGGGTCAGTGTTCTTTCCAGCTGGAAAATCCTGTTTCCTATAACTCTCTGCATCCCATTCTCTTTAAGTCTTTATATAAGCTTTCCTACTCAGAAGGTTATCTTTCTCCCTGCTTTTGCCCTTGTCTGACTCTCTGCCTCCACCATCTGGGATCCACACTTCATTCTTCCAGGCAGCCTTTTATCTCTTGGAAGTTGTTCCCCTGCTCTGTTACTTAATAGCACATCCTTATAACACCAACTGGCAACAATCTCTCACTGATGCCTTCTGTCCATGACTGTAGTGGAGGCTCTTCCCAATGCAGGAGCACCCTCAGATACTTAGGAACACACTGAACACTGCTGGCTGATAAAACCTCACATACATTCACATGGGAGGAGGACACTTAGTCATGGAATCTCTTTTTAGGTAGCTTTTGTTTCTGTTCAACACTGTGTTCATTTGTCTCCTGGCCTGTCCCCACTTAGCACAACCTTGTTAAATTTAATTCCCATTGGGCAACTCTTCAAAGGGGTCACACAATGAATAGAGAAAGCCAGGAAACCGTTACCTGCAGGGGTTTGGGTCCTGTGATGCGCTGTGGAGGTGGTAGAGGTGGAGGTGGAGGTGGGGGTGGTATCATGGGGGTGGCTCGGGGAGCTCCTCCTGATGGCTCCTGTTGGAGCCCAGAGACACCAACAGATGAAGGTGAAGAGCCCAGGAGAGTCAATGCAACATAGGCACCAGCTGGAGGAAGACAAGGAGAGGCTTGTTTAGGTGGTATTGCTCTGGAGAGCAGATATTCAACCTTCAAAGGAGAAAATTCTTCTTTTTCTTTTCATTAAACTTGCAGTCCTATAGTTTAAGCTCTCACTTGTAAAGCCCCAAGTATTCTCTAATCCCTGTCCTCTTACAATGCATCAACCCAAGTTTCCCTTCCTCCCTGCAGAGACCTCACACACGTGCCATCTCATCCATCTCTTGTTTCTTACTTTATCTCATTAAATGAGATAGCCAATGTGAAAATGCAGCAAAAAATGGCAGGCATTCAAATTTTAGCCCTCCACCCTGAAGCCCCAAGACTTCTCACACCCTTTTTCCCCTACACATTTGTTGCTTCTCTTTGATTATCTGTGCAGACTCAGTTATGGGGTCTTATTGGCTACAGGGTATTTTTTGCTTTCCCTTGCTCTCAAAACAGGAAATAGATGAGGAAGAATGTCTGTGAATGCAAGATGAGCACACAGTATTTAAGTGAGATGTGATCTCAATAAGATATGGTCCACAAAGGAATGGCTAAGATGAATGTGATAAATGATGAATTTGATAAGTATCTTCATTAGAAATGATAATAGGGCTTTGTGGCCTTCTAAACATCTACAAAGGAAGTCTCCAGGGTCAGTTGGCATGCCTTTTCCTCCCTTTCAGCCCACTAATTCCTTAACTTTCTTTAGTGCTCACCCCTTTCCAACTCACATTTGATAAGTTTCACTACCTCCAGGTGTGAGCTATTGGTCACCATGGTGCCGTTGACCTGTTGGAGAGACAAAGAACACTGAGTAATGGTGAATGGAAACTTGGGGGCTCCTACCTAAGATTTCAATGTCACTTCATTAGGAAACCATTTTCTGGGCTCTCTAGTTACCTCTGGGCTCACTTGTTTTTTCAAATCCATGTTAGAAATTCATTCCTGTTTATATGTGCTATGTGTTTTGTCTTCTGAGCCACTGTATAACTTTCCAGGGACCAGACCTGTTTCCTCATTCATTCATTCATTTCTTTCTTTAATGGTTTTGCACCCATTACATGTGTGTATTATTAACTGAGCTGGTATAGTTTTTCCTTTCTAGGAGACCAGAAGTCTCTGCATCAGGATTTCTTTAACGCTTTTAGAATGCATTACATGGAAGCCAGACCTGAATGGACAGTGCGGATTCCAGTAGTTTAGAACAGCCAGGGATCTAAGATCAGTACTGTAGGGGAGATAAACTAGCAAGATGAGAACCTGAAGGCTCACAGCCCTTCCTTCTTAATCTCATTGTTATCATATATGAAGCGGGACTAATAACATCTTTTCTAAAAGGATGGCTGCTTTGGAGTCCCAAGGGCCCAGAACATGGAACCCACCTATTTTAATTGTCTCCCTCCCACTATATTATCATGCTTTCTCCTGTGGGGCTACACCAGACTCCACATATCAATATGGATGTTGAAAGGACAGGTCAAGGCCAGAGATGACTCTGCACTTTTTCTACACAATGGGTATCAAGGTCACTCACTTTGATGATCCGGTCACCCTCTTTCACTCCAGCTTTCATGGCTGCGCCCCCTGTAAAAAGAAGGCCTGGTCAACAAAGTGCCACACAACCCTTCCAGAAGCCATTAAACGTATACCATGATCCCTGTTAGATCCCCATCTAAAATGTCATCACATTTCTTTACGAAGCACTTCAATTGCTGGGAGGACATCCCATTTTTTTTCAGTGACAAATGATTTTGAGGCTGTGGCAGACTCCAGGAGGTCGTATCTGCTGCTCATCCCTCACCCTGGCTTAGAACCCAACTTCTGATGACCAGCAAGGTGGGAGTCAGGCAGAGCCAAGCCCCAGGAAGACGACTCATTCTCATTGTTACTGTCTAGTGAGAAAAGTGACTTTAATGCATTAAGTATAATTAGTAAAGTAATAGTGAAAGGTTCATAAAGATATTGAGGACTCACATCTTTAAAAATAATGATTATTTTCCTGCTTTAAAAAGAACCGGTTTAAACTATTTACAACTTCTTCCTTTAAAATGAATCAGATTAAGGAAGGGCTTCTGTTGGCTGACCAAAATTTGCTTACAAGTACATGCTCCTGATTGTTTTATGTTATCGCTCGATTAGTGGCTATGGTGGTTTTGACCTCCACATAGTTTTAAGTGGCTTCTACTGCTAGCTTAATTTATGACCAGAAAGCACAAGAAACACTACAGCTGAAATTAGTTAATAAAAGGCATAAAAATTATATTTTGTAAATTTGCCCAAAGATGATTGTTGCATTTATCTGATCAAAACAAAACTCCCAACACATCTAGATGTTTCTAGTACATTAAAAAAAAAAAAAAAAAAAAATATATATATATATATATATATATATATATATATATATATATATATACAGTGATGACTATACTCCAATTTGGCTTTTCAATATGGGTACTAAGACTCTCTCATCCAAAATTTGCTATTTATGGACAAGTATTTGTAAATAGCTTGAAATTCTTTCTTACACATTTGTAGAAATGAAAGCTGGAAAGGAAAAAGCTATTTTGCTTGAACGTATGAAAAACATGAAATGAGTTCTAATAACTGAAGTGATTAAAATAGACTTGTTAAAGGAGTTTGAGCAGAAGTTCTCAGACTTGTGTTGGCATGAGAATCACCAGGGCAATTTGTTAAAATCATCCAAGCAATGTGTGTTCTTGGGCCCTTGTCAGAAAAGTGATTCAGTACTAAGGTTGGGCCTAGGAATAATGATACCAATCATTCTAAGGTCTATGTGTGATTCTGATGGAGGCAAAACACAAGTAGTTAACTAAACAATTTGGAAAAGACAACAGCAATTACTTTGTTACTCTTGTGATCTCAATGCCAATCCAAATTAAGTTTTATCCTCAAAACATACATACATCTTATTTTATTGAAAGTCATCTTTTTGTTATTTCCTCTTTGATTTTACCTCTACTCAGCCTAAGAGAAGAGGAAAAGTAAAGGAGAGCTGAACCCACATTTCACTGGAAGGGATCCCATATTTTCTATATCTAACAGATGGGAGAGGCAAAGTACACGTCACTAGTTATTCTACTTAGATCTATCTTATCTTCGTTCAGGAATTCTGAAAAACAAAGGAAGCAAAGAATAAAACTTATTTTTTTTTAGAGCTTTACTCTAGGATATGAAAACTAAACCTGCCACCAGTAAAATTAGCTTCCAAATATTCAGATTGTATAATTATCCTTGTATGAGCCATATCTCTCATTCTGGTCAGACATTTGTAGTTGTCTTTTTATTTTTCCTAAACATATCCCATGTCTTTCTCCAAAGTTACTGCAAGTATATTTTCCCTTCTTTTTTTCCCCTTGGGTGAAATGTCAGTCTGCTCTTACTTTCTCCTGTGTTCTCCTACAAGACAAGCTGCTAAGATGATCCCTATCACTGGCCCAATCCTATTTATTACATTAGTCTATCCTTATACACTGTCCTGCAACCTCTCCCTCCTGCTCATCTTCTTCAACCTTGACCACTAACAATGATTTGACTACTTGGCATATGAAGGGCTTCAACTGTCTGCAGCTCTTCTATACATAACTTGACATCTAACAGATTTGCTCACGAATCCCTAGCACTCTTAACTCCCTCCCCATCAAATGCCTATTTTGCCAATCTGGTTTTTTACTTCTATGTTTTAGACTATTCCTGAAAGCCTCTTTTTCCTAAAGGACTTCCCAAAGTGATCCAAAGGGAAATGACTATGCTCCTTGAACCAGACTGCCCAAACAAACTTCCAAATACCATTTATCTGACATAATACCTGTTACTCATCATCTATCTTTTGGTGATTTATTAATATTAACTGATTACAAATAAATGTAATCTAAAGCCCTTGACCAGTGTACCTGTAAACTATAAACCTCCATTTTAAGTGACCATCTGAGCACTCAGCTGGGTAATGGGAATGTTGGTATAAAGAAAGGAGCCTCCGATTCCTATTCACATTTTCTAATTCAGCATGAGGTGCTCACCTGGATGGCAATCAGGTATTTGTCTAATGACCTGAGGCTGTCCTATTGGTTTTGCACTTCCCAATTGGAGAAGTAAGCATGGTATGTGATCCCTAGAACTTTTGCCTCATGGCTTGGCATTGTAGAGACTGACTCAAGACATCTTTGGGGAGTAGTTCTACAGTAATTCATTCTTGGTCTCCAGGGCTCCTCCACCCACCTACCATGCTGCACAGTCACATATATGTGCCTTTTCAAGAGACATCCATATCAGAGAAGAACTCACCAGGCCGTACAGACTGAACCAGAACAATTCGATCTCCACTGACTGTGAAGCCAAAGCCATGCTGGTCCTTCTGGATAATGACACAGCGTTGAACAAGACCTGGCAGGGGTCAAAGAGAGAGAAAGGACTGGCCTAGCAATCTTTGAAGGTTGGTACATACAAGCCAAGGCCAACTCAAGAAAGATCCACAGCATTTCTTCCTCAAGAGGCTTTCCCACACTAACCCAATTCCCCAGACTCACCCTGTCCAAACACAGGACAGGCTTCCCAGTCACTGGCAGACAGTTGGAATCCCATATGAGACAAGACCCTTCTCTGTGTTGAAAAACTGTTTATCTCTCATATATGGCAGTCCCTTTTGGTTTGTCTGGGTGTGACTGGTCAAAGAAGGGGCAAGGCCAAGTCTAACTACCCTCCTAAAGACTATGCTACAGCAAAAGAATATTCTTTGGGTTGACTGAAAACTTTATGTCATGCTACTACCAATGACACCAGCAGGTAGGACACTAATAGTTGCTAATTGTTTCTTGCAGAGTTGGATGCCTCATATCAAGTAACTGAGGGCTGATCCCTTACGAAGTCCAGGAAAAGACAAATGACAGGAAGAAATCTTTTTATTCACATAAACACTGTCTATTGAACTTTAAACTTTGAAAAGAAAGGCGATGACTACTGACTGTCTTCATCATTGTGAGCACATGACAGGCATTATGCATGTGTGACTGCATTTTGTAATGACTCAAGAATGGGTTCCAGAGCTAAAGAGAAGTGTATCAATGTCCTGATCCATACCCAAGCTTGGACAGTTGGGCAGGTTTCTTAACTGCTGTGTGCCTCAGTTCCCTCATCTGCAAAATGAAGACAATAAAACCTACTTTGTAGATTGATGCAAGGGGACAATCCACATAAATCAGTAATATAAGCTCTGGCACACATTAAGTTCTCAATATAAAGACTAAGGTGCTTTGTGTTTGGGGTGTGAGGGTATGTGCTCTGCTATGTCTGTGCGCTAATACTAGGGAAGTGGTTACCTGATGTCTCGGAGGTATCAGAGGGCTGGCGGTGGTGAGAAGGGGACTTGCGCTCAGGTGCAGAATCTCCCAGGGAAGACAGGCTACTTAACCTGGAGAAAAGGTATGCAAAATCTATCAGTGAGCTGGTCAGAGGTACCAGTAGAAAGAGGCTCTATCAAAGGGGCCGAGTCTTGGACAATGAGAGACTCATCCACCCACCTTGTAACCTACTCAGTCTGGTCAGAGAGTATCTGTATCAACACCACTGGCAAAACCACCTATCTGGAAAACTGACCTGGCAGAGCAAGCATAATCTAATACCCAGCAAAGAGTGATGAGAAATAGCCTTTCATGGAGTCAGGTGACAGACAAGAACAAGAAGGGGATGTGCACATACACACACATTTGTTGGGTCTTACCAGGCTGCAATGGGGCTGATGAAACAGAACGGAGCAGCAGAGAAAATGAATGCAAGAAAAAGACAGGAGAAAAAACAAACAGCTAGTTAGTGTTAGGTGATGATTGCAAAGAAAGAGGGAGGACACTGCAGGCTAAACACATAGAGAGGCCTGCATGAACATAGCAGAATGCTGCAAAAGCTGTAGCAGAAACAAGTTCCCCACTTTAGCTTGATCTCTTTGCACTTCAGAGTACCTCTCAAAAATGGCTGTCTCCAAGAGGGGGATAGGGCATTTAGGTCTAACCTACTAGGTCACCAGCAACTTACACACTGTTCTAGAAAGGAAGAACACAGCAATACTGGTGCCCCTGAAATTTCCACTTATGTTTTGGGTACCATGGGAGAACAGAAATCTGGTCCATTTAGTAATAATACACTCTAACCTCATAATCAGCCCCATTCCCACACCAGCCTGAGGCACCTTACTTATATTGTAAACCCTTAAATATTGCAGATCACCAAACCAGATTCATTGTTTTATCTCTTTATTAGGACCTCTACAGAAACACAAGAAATTCAAATCATTGCTGTGGCCTTTGTTTTTAGAAAATAGTATAAATTGCCACTTCCAAATTATTAACCGCTGCCAACAGGCAATTTCTATCCTAACAACAGTAAATGATCTTTTAGAATGTTATTTATGGAGCCAGTGAGTGTAATGGCAAAACACTGTAAATAATCTAAATGTTCACAACAGGTAATTGTTAAATCTTTTGTTTTTTTGGGTACTAGCGATCCAATTCATGACCCTGAACTTGCAAGGCAGGCGCTTATGCAGCTGAGCTAAATCCCTGGTCCTAAATCCATTATTTTACATCAATACAATGATACAGACTTTGGCCACATAAAACAATGAGAAGGCACTTAATATACTAATGCAAGACACACATGGTATTTTATTGAGGGGAAAAAAGGAGGATACAAAACTATGTGTACATTGAAAACACTAGACAAAAGGAAGAAAAATTATTTGTTTATGTATTTTACATATTTGCTTTTGCATGCAAAAATATCCAACATGTTTCTGGAAAGATATAAAAAGAAACATAACATGGGTTGCCTCTGAGGAGGGGCAGTGTGGATGGCTGGTGCATGAGGATGAAGTGGAGACTTCCTATTATATTCTATTTTGTACCTTAGTTCTGAAACATGAAGATAGTATCTATCCAAAAAAACAACTAAATAGGAAGGGATTTTCTTTCTTCTTCACAGTGGCACCCCTCTTACCTGGACAGGTGAGACTGCTTTTTATTGGCTGATCTTTGGATTAGAGAAAGGACATCAAAGAAGAACAGAGCGTGGGACCCAGCAGTGAGCGATGCAGGAAAGGAAGAAAAACAAAACACAATATAAACCAGACAAACAGACAAGACACTGGACATAATTCGTTCAAAAGAAAAACTGCAGTAGTGCCACGAGGTAGAAACTGGTCATAATACAGCAGATGAGTTTACTAATATTCAAATTTAAGCTTCCCATAAGCTCAGGAGAAAGGTCACCTTGTGTCTCCAACCTACTCCATCAGCCTGGTGCCTTAGCAGGAATTGTAAGCTGATGCCTGACTGAGTGGCCCTCAGGGGTCTTGCACAGATGCCAGTGCCCAGCCTGCCTGCAGCATGAACACTCAATGGCAGTGCTCGTCCAGCTGTCAATACAGCTGCCAGGACAAGGCCGGAAGGTCCTTGAAGGCAGAGTGTGTTGCTGCCCAAGGTCTCCCATGCCTGACTCAGTAGGTGCTCAGTCCTGTTCTTGATCCCGACTGGCTATCATTCTCTCTTCATTTGTGATCACTTCTGGTTTCTGGCTTTGCCCAGAATGGTCTTTCCTCTTATGTTATTCCCTGTTACTATAAATACCTATAAGCCAAAAAAGGCAAATTTTCAGAAGTTGAACTGGCTTTCTTCCAATTACCCTATTCAATCATTCCCTATCTATGTCCCACTTCCCTACTCACAGTAAAGATTAAGCTTTGGTAAGGTAACAGAGGTTTACTATATTTTAGAATCTAGAATGATCTCATACAATGAGCTATAAGCTATATTGGCTATTTAAATTTTAATGTTTCAGTAAAATTAAGCAGTTTCTCAGTTGTACTAACTACATTTCAGATATTTAACAGCTACATATGGTTAGTGGCTAACACACTAGATAGTACAGATTAGAACATTCCCATCATGGCAGAAAGTTCTACTGGACAGCGTTGCTTGAGATACTGTTGGGCAACTGGGACAAAAGTGGATGAGTAAAACATGTAGATCTTTAATACAATACTTAGAGACCAGCAGACTCCCATCAGAAAGGGACTCCAAGAAATGACCTTTAATATCTTGCCTTGTTCTTCCCAGCTCCCTCCCTTTCTTCTGTTTGTAAAGACTGTAGAACTATAAAAATATAATAGTTTTTGTCATATATTTTTTAAAGACTTAGGATAATACGGCAAAACTATGGTATTCATGAGTTCAACCGACAGGTGGTCCCTAGTCAAGGATGATCCAATGTCCTTCAGGCTGAGATAGGAGGGGACATACCTGAAAATGGAAATGACACAGTTGTTTGGGAAGATGTCAACTTGCCCAGTGACCAAGGAGATGCCCCATAGCCAGCCATCCTGGAACTTCCGCAGGACCTTGACTCACTCACTCTCTCTTTTTCTCTTTCTTTCTTCTTTCCTTCCTTCCTTCCCCCCTCCCTACCTCCTCTTTTTGGTGTTGGAGGTGTTTTTATGAATCCAGGGCTGTTTACATGCTAGGTTCACACAGTATTTCTGAGCTCTACCTGGTTTAGCTTGAGCTGAATCTGGGCTGGGACATGGGAAGCTCCACATAATTGAAGGCAAATGAAGCAAATATGCGGGTATTTAGCTATAAACAACCATCAGGAGCACAGACAAAGATCACTCTTAACAGCTACTGGGAGTTTCTCTAAAAGACACACTCACAGGCTGGCACATGCACAGGCTACAATATACATTTTTGACAATTTGATTTTTTTCTCTGAGAGCATAACGAAAGAACTGGAGGGCCAGGGATTTAGTTCAGCGGCATAAGCGCCTGCCTGGCAAGCGTGTGGTCCTGAGTTCGATCCCTGGTCCCCACCAAAAAAAGAAGGAACTAGAGGAAGAGATGCCTTAGAGAAGGCAGGTTGGGTAGATGTAAAGAATGGCTTCACTGTAGGGATCAACTGGATTTTGAGTCTGAACACAGGATATAGAAGGTCGTCTTTGGAAGTTTATAATTTGAGAGAGAAGGAAGGAAACAAAAGAGAAAGTAAACTATTTTGACATGAAACAGAGGCAGTCTCTCCCTTGTCCCTTCAAAATTTGGTAGCACAACTCAGAGTATAATCAGCCTAAACCTTGGAGGTCTAGGGAAGGCCCTGAAAAGTAGAGAACTTTACTCCAAATTGTGCTCTCTAAATGGACACCACTGAGACAGATTTTCTGATTTAATCTCTTGTTTACTCCTTATATTCAGTCAGTCAGGACTGGGTTGAGTGGTTTTGAGATCAGATTCCCACAAGGAATACAGAAGCTGAATCTCTCACACTTGTGATTTACAGTACAATTTATGCTCCTAACTTGCATTTCTCTAATGGTCACAGATGTTGAACACTTATTCATGTATTTGTTGGCTGTTTGTACTTCTTGCTTGGTGAAGTGCCTATTCATTTCACTTGCCCATTTCTCGACTGGGTCTTTTATGTTAGACTCGTGTGAGTTATTTGAGTATTTTACTTTTTCTTACTTTTTTTTTTTTTTTTTTTTGGTACCAGGGATTGAACTCACAACCTTGAACTTGCCAGGCAGGCAGTTATGCCACTAAGCTAAATGCCTGGCCAGAGTACTTTATATCCTCTAGACACTATTAGTCCTCTGTCTGAGGAGTAGCTGGCAAAAAAATTTTTTCCCGTTGTGTTGGCTGTCTTTTCATTCTACTAATTGATTATTCTGCTATATAGAAGCTTTTTAAATTTGATGTAATCCCATTTAATTCTTGCTGTTATTTCTTGTGCAATGGCACAAGTTCTGTTTAGAAAATCCTTTCTATGCCTGTGACTTCAAGTATTTTATCTATTTTATTTTCTAGTAGCCTCAATGTTTCTGTTTTAATGTTAAGTTCTCTGAACCATCTTGATTTTAATGTAGTACAAGGTAAGAGATATTGGTCCAGTTTTAATCTTCAATAGGTATCTGCTTTTTTTCATCACTATTTTTTGAATGAGCTATTGTTTCTATAACATATGCTTTGGGCTCCTTTGTCAAAGATCAAATACTTCAATGTGTCTGGGAAGGTTTGTATATCCCCTATTATATTTCACTGACCCATGTATTTGTTTTTGTTCCAGTACCATGCTATTTTTATTACTATTACTTTGTAGTAAGCTTGAAGTCAGGTATTGTGATGCCTCCTGCTTTGCTCTTATTGCTCAAGATTACTTTTGCTATTCCAAGTCTCTTTTATTCTCGTTACATATGAATTTTAGGGTTGTTTTCTCTAGATTTGTAAAGTATGCTGTTAATATTCTGATTGGGACAGCCGTTAGAGAAATGTAAATTAAAACAATATTAAGATTCCATCTTACTCCACGAAGAATGGCAATCATCAAGAAATCAAAAAATAATAAATACTGGCAAGCTGTGGTGAAAAAGGAACCCTTCTACATTGTTAATGATAATGTAAACTAGTACAACCATTATGGAAATCAGTATGCAGATTTTTTAAAGAATTAAAATTAGAAATTAAATATGACCCAGTTATCCTTCTTTCTGGATATCTTACCCTAAAATTTAAGACACCATATTACAATAATATATGCATACCAATGTTTATAGCAGGGCAATTCATAATAGCTAAATCCACACCCATCAACAGATAACTGGAAAACTAAAATGTGGTATCTATACAAAATGGACTACTTGATTATAAAGGACAAATTTGGAACATTTGCAGGAAAATGGATATACCTAGAAAATAATATTGAATAAAACATACCAGACACACAAGTTTGAAAAACATATGGTTTCTCTCATTTGAGTAAAGTACAAAGAGTATGGACAGAATTAGACAGGGGGCTGGATCTCTAGCAAATGGGAAGAGATTCAAGAGAACAAGGGCAAGGGGAATTAAGGGAAATAAGCAGAATAAAGATATGTTAAGTACATGAACCTAATAATCTCAGTGAATGTAAATAGTATATGCTACAAACATGAGCAAAAAGTAGGAGTGTTAAGAAGAACAAAAATGGGGAAAGGGAACTTGTAAGGGAAGGAAGGTGAAGAAGACGAAAAAGACCAAAAAAAAAAAAAAAAGTGAATCAATTATATACATGTACCCACTCGCCAACAGGATTGTGAACTGTATTTACTGCAAACAAGAATTTAAAAAATAAGATAATCTAATGCTAACACTGACCTGTTAGGAAGTAGAGATCAGGCAGTAGTGCAAGAGATGGGGAGTGGTTGATTTGTGGTTGATTCCTTATAGGTACCATCAGTGGTCTGTGGGTTGGGGACCCCTGAGTTGAAGAGGCCTACAAGTCCTTTTAATCTTCCAGGGTTGATCTTTTCTTTATATTATCACTGACCAAAATCCAAACAAAAACATAGGTTTTCTATGCTCCCATCTTGTCAGCTACATCACAACACCACTCCTCACTCTCATCAAGCCTACAGTTTCTCTCATTACTTGTACAACCAGATGTATGATAGTCTGGCATTAAAAGCTTTTCATCATGTGGGTCCAAGAAACTTTCCAAATTCAACCCTAATTACTTGGCTATGTTACTTGACTCCACTGGATTGAAAGATATTCTGTGCTCATTCCTGCTCTCAATTTATGATGCCTTCCATCCTTTTTCTTCTACAATTAGTAGTGGCAAACCTATGGCATGTATGTTATTGTTTTTCTTTTAGGATAAAAGATGTTAGAGTTATTACATTACTCAGTATTCAGGTTTAACTGTAGTGTTGGTACTTTGCAATTGTTTAATTGAGAAGTTTAATTGAGAGACTTAGCAGATAGCCAAGGTTCTTACTTTGTAAATATCTTCATCCTGTGTAAACGAGGGCAAGGAGATTTTGTGAGTGCTACACCTACCCTGGAGGGGTCAGGGGTGGCCTGTATATAATATAAGTCAGGAGAAGAGGCTTGTTTTCTTCCTTTTTGCTCTGGCTGCTGCTTTGAAGAGCTTCCCCAGAACCATGCCATATTGCCTTGGAGCCAACTGATTATGGACTGAAACCTCCACAAACAGTGAGCTAA